GGACGCTTATATTTTGTAGATGGCCTAGATTCTACTTTTTCTAACTTGATGGCTTCCTTGAGAGCTAAATCCTATTTTGAAGAACCTGGAGCTCAGATGAGACGTGTTGAATAATTATTTAAGTAATCGATAACTTTTTGCAAATGCTTAATCCATGCTCTTATTAGTTTAGAGTTCAAAGTTATACTTTTGACAGCATATTGAACTTTATATAGTATTTCCGCTAGAGTTTTATTAAATCTCTCCACAATTGCTATACCACGATGGGAATATAGACCAATAACTCAAATTACTACACTGTGTTCTTTCATTAGTTGGCTTGTCTGTTCTGCTCATTCTTTTCCATTATCATATTGTAGAAGTGTCAGGTATGTAAGAGGGTTATTGGAATTATCATAAATTTTCTCGAATGCTTTAGCAACCTCTGAACTTTTCTTCGATGTGAGAGGAACACTCGCCTTGAACCTGCTAGCCACATCTATTATGTTAAGTACTGCTATCCATTTTTTATTTTTGTAGTAGTCATATGTAAGAAACAAGAGATCATACTGATGTACACAATTTGGACGTGAAATTTTACTATAACTAACCCGTGGAGTATCTTTTGGTAGTGGGACATGTTTTTGCTATTCATTCTGGTTCGTAAGCCACTCACATATTTTTTTATATAGAAATTGATATCCCTCTGCTTTAAGATCTTTCCATAATTTTTGGGGGTTGGAATGATACCCTGTTGGTTGATAGAATAATAACTTGCAAACAAGATCTATTTCCTCATCAGGATCTATAGTAATACTAGGTTGGTTCATTTTTAATATATTTTACTATATCAATAAATTATTATTTGACAAAGTTTCCAGAAGCGTTGATATATTATAGGCTTGTATAATGCTATTAGATACAATAGTGTCTCCACTTAGTGAAACAATCAAAAAATTCGAAGCTAGTTTGCAGATAATAAAAAACCGATTCTCTAAATTACAATGGGATCTAGACTTAAAAGAGAGTTACATTAAATATCTCAAAAATGAAATTTTGATTCGAGATAGAGAACTGGATCCATTATGACAGGAAATTTCTGATATTAAAGAACGGTTAGAAAAAACACTTCGAGATTCTGAAAGCTGAGAGAATTATATAGACTATTTGGAAAAGCGGTTAGTAATTTTTCAAGATGAAATAGACAAGC